ATTCCTATTTTTATAAGTGGTCTAGCTTAAGCTCAGATTATTTTAATTAACTTATCATACTTACACTCAAATAAGATATGTGATCTGATTATAGAGTTACTGATTCTTCCCATCTTACCATGTTCATTTCAGTAGGAACATTTGTTTCCATTTTTCCTGAAGCATTTGTTTTTTCTTTCTGCCATAGTCATTAAGATGACTATATTCATTATCAGTGACGATGAATCTTAGTTAGAAAGAGTCAAGGAATAGGTACATTAGCAGCTAATTTCTCCAAATGAGTTCTAAAGGTAGGGACTAGTCTGTGAGTGCTAAAATGCTGTCAAAATTAAGTTGTTAGGTGGCCTTGGGTTTGTTTCTAGTCGTCTGGAGAAAGCTTGTCAGACCATTCTCCTCTTTGCAAAAAGTAGGAAATATGAGTGGGGCGTTCTTCCATCTTCTTGTGCCCTACAGCTTACTTGTAATCCTACTGTCAATTTCTTTTTCATTCCAACCATCCATCATCATTCAACATTTTCTCTGGTGCCCATCAGCTGGCCTTCCCAACTGAGATTAGACTGCAAGCATAATGAATGAAGGTGAGAGTTGTCCTGCCTGGTCAATGTATGTCTCAGAATTGGAGTAGCTTGCTCCTTAATGGTCTTGACAGCAGTTCCGAGGCTACTTGGCTGAATGGGAGGGCATGTGAGGAGAGGTGAGTTCTGTTTCTCACCCAGAATACTGAAATGCCAAGAGTCCATTTACAGTCCATTTTGATGGTAGACACTCTCAGACTTTGTGATCTTTGGTCAGGGCCTTGCTTTTGGTTCTGATAGCTTTATTTTCCAAAAATAGTTCTTTAGGATGCTGCTTCTTTTTTCTTTTTAAAATGGTAATTCAATACCTTTGTCAATTTTGTGCTATTACAACAGAATATCACAGACTGAGTTGTCTATAATGAACAGAAATTCAATGGTGTATAGATCTAGAGGATTGGAAGGTGAAATTAAGGGACATCAAGTGACTTTTTTTTTGCATATTTCATACCATGATAGAAAACAGAGGAAGGGTGAGAGAGAAAGGGGACTCAAATTTCTATAGTCATCTGTGTCCTGGGATGTTTGTTTCAGTCCATGCATGGTCATCCTCATGACAAGTATCAGATCTCAGTACTGCTGAATTGGAGGTTAAGAGTCCAACACATGGTGTTTGGGGATCACATTTGTACCATAACATTTAGTAACCTAGTAACCTAGATTTAGACATCTGCTTTATAAAGAGGAAACCATATCAGATGCAATGAGGGTCACATAGGCATGGATCTGAAAGAATGCACAAGGTTCCCAGAGGTAGAATTTTGGCTGAGGGTTAAAGTAGACAGAGCAGTCTTTTTCACTCTTACTTAACAGTAGCACACCACATGAATCCATCATTTTCCTCAGCTCCCAGGAGTTTTGAGCAGTGGGAATGTGGCTAAGTTTGGAACTTCATACCCCATTTTCCTCCTTTCATTGCCATAGCCTCATCTCTCCCACTGACATTCTAGTGGCTCCTGTCTTCATAGTTGGTATTTGTTTCTTTTTTAATGTTAATTCTATCCCTTGCCATAAACACACATTTATGAGGTATTCCTACTACCTGTAAGGCTTTAGGAGGACAGAGCAAGTTATTCACTTTTGCTAGGCTTGTGACATTTGACAATTTATTTTCAAATGTACTTTTTTTTTACCTAATTTTAATATTATTTTGTCCACTTAGGTCTCCATTTCTTTTTCCATTCATGCAGCAGATGCATGCTTGCTTAACTTCTTTACATAGGGATAAGTTATGTAAACTTTTTTAAAAGATTTATTTATTTATTATGTATACAGTGTTCTGACCACATGTATGCCTGCAGGCCAGAAGAGAGCACAAGATCTCATTATACATGGTTGTGAGCCACCATGTGGTTGCTGGGGATTGTACTCAGGACCTCTGGAAGAGCAGCCAATGCTCTTAACCTCTGAGCCAAGTTATATAAACTTTAATGAAGTCATATAATGATAATAAAAATGACATATGTTAAGGTTTGTCTGAGTTGTTTTTTATGGAGACAGTTGTTTTTTGGGAAACAGGATTGACTATTTTAGGCTTGACATTGGACTTTAAAGGATTGGTAAAAGAAATGCCCCTCCAAAACTGAGCCCAGTATGCCCAAGGCACACAGGCCCAGCATCCATACAGTGTACACAGTGTATATCAAGAACTAGTTGACTGCCTTGGTTGTTCCAGTTTAAATTTAATTATGGAGTCCTTGAAATCATAACACTTGATCTTTTTAGAAGTCATTAAAGACACCTACTCATTTCTATTATAATGAGTAGAATTGTGTGTTATTTTTGTATCCATCTCATATAAAGTTTTTTGTTTTGTTTTGTGTATGCTGTTCCTGGAGTGCAGAATATAACCATATTTTCCCTGTACTCATCTCCTTGGTGATTCTGTTCTGATTAGGTTTTGTGGTCTTGAAAGGTATATTGTTGATGAAGAAGATAAATCTATTCTGAGTTTATTTTCTCTGTTTGTAAATGTTTAATATGATCTTTTGAGGTAGAGGTTTGTTAAAGGAGTAGTATTTCTATTAGTCTGTTCCAGGCCCTAGCTACTTACCTCCTTTTCTTCTTTGGTATTGTATATACATTAAACGTAGGACCTTGCTCATACAGAGCACATTCAATACAGCTGAGCTATACCCCTAGGCCTTGTGTTAGTCTTGATGCTTTCATTTAAGTTGCAAAAATTAGCAAGACATCAATAATCCTGGTTCCTATCATTGTGTTGGGATGCAGATTTTGAGAATGTGAAGTAGGCCACTAATTTAAAGGAAGAGCTGTATATGCCATTGTATTTTTGTTAGAAATTTAGATCTGTGCTCAGATGGTTTGATGGAAACAACTGATCCAAACAGTATCTGTCTAAATGCCACTGGGAAGTGCTGATGATCCTGGATGTCATTTGCTGAAGCTTCCCTTGGTTTTATCCATCTCCTAGATGCCTTGGAGACCACAAAGATGGATAATAAACCAGAGTCAGCCTTGCTTGTGTCTGATAACCATGCAAAGAATTCTAACCATAAGGGAATGTTTAGAGAGAGAAAATATGTATATGTAGGTTGCTTGGGTTTTGAAGAAACCCACCAAATAGTATGGTTTTTGTGCCAGAATTCTGAAACTGTTGAGGACTAACATGAAGTAAATTAAAAGTAGAGTACCAATTATACACTAAAAATAATGACACTGAAGGACATAACCTAGCTTAGGTGGACTTGCTAGCTGAATATGGGAGATAGATTTGTTTACCCATTTAATAGAAGGTATTAGACCACTTTACTTCTTTTTTGACCTTCCCCTCACTTCTTTTTTGATAGCCAGGTCCTTTATAGGCAGACTTTCCTCCCTCACTGTATTGAAACAAGGGTCTTACATGTGTTCTGTAATTATTCTACCCTTGAGTTATATCCACAGCCTTACTAACATAAACCAAACTACATTTACCATCTGTAGACATGGTTTTTCAAATGGAATACTGTGGCTTTCCAGGATATTCATGACCCCCTTTTTTCCCTTAATTTTTGCTGATCAAAAGAATTTACTCATCTTGGAGTATGTAAAAGTGGAGAGAAGCTAGGGAATATAGCGATTGAATCTTTAAAAAAACAAAACGAAACAAAAAAAAAACACCCATGGGGGCAGGGTGGCAGTGCTAGTGGAAGCATTTCTTCCAACTTCTGAAGTTATATGCAGCTTTGTATATTCTAAACTCTCTGCAACTAAATCTTGGCAAAATAGTGATGTAAGTTGTTACTGCCTCAGAATGTGTGAGCTGGGCAATTACTTCTTGCACTTTGACCCTTTGATGTTTCAGCTAATTACCTACTAAGAACCATTTCAGGAAAGAATGTAAGTCCTGGTTACCATTGCAAATCCTGCCTTAAGACTTGTGATAGCATTGAGAAAGCAGCAATTTTACACTTTGCAAAACATGTATCAGCAGCTTGAAATAAAATCCTACATACAATGTGGTACACTCTTTTAAGACAGTTTCATTCTCAGTAATACAGGATGGCACTTACTGGAAAATAATGGATGCTGCCAGCTCTGAGTCAGTTATTCCAAAGGATGCAATGTGTATATTATGTAGTTTTAAGAAGGTCTTGATGAGTTTCTTTTTAATTTTTTTTAAATTTTGTGCATAGGAGTGTTACCTGCACATATTTTTGTGGGCTACTTGTGTGTATGGTGCCCAAGATGACCAGAAGAGAACATTGGATCCTCTGGAACTGGAGAAGCAAATGGCTTTGAGCTACCATGTGGGTGCTGGGAATTGAATCCAGGTCCTCTAGAAGGAGCAGCACCCAGTGCTTTTAACCACTAAGCTAATTTTTTTTGCCCCAAGTTTACTTTTCTTATGTTTGTTTATATTAAATGTACTCAAGGTATTTATGGACTATCTATTTAAATAGTCAAGTAAGCTTTCTACTATGATATAAAAAAGATCTTAATAAATTACATATTTTAATAACTAGAATTCTTTCTCCTAGTCTTACATAAAATAGTAGTGTGCCTTTTAATTTGTGAAGTTTTTGTCTTGGTGACAATTATGGCGAATAGGATTAAATATGTTTTACAATCTGGGATGCTTTAAATGTAACTTCTTCTTTCTCTGTGTGCTCTACTGTTCAAAGAAGACACTGTTGACTAGAGAGAAATGTTTTAGCCTCAACTGCACTATAACCTTGAACCATTACTTTCCGTGTGTCATTGACTCTTCCTGGACTTCCCTTTTCTTCTTTCCTGGGTAATTATGCCATAGATTGTTAAAGAGAAAGATTGGATCATGTCATTTGCAATAGCTGTAAATACTGTGGTTAACTTTAAAAGGTAGCCCTTTGGACAATACAACACTCATGCAATGCTTATCTTGGTTTGCTTATCTGTAAAACTTCCAACTAGCTAAGTCTCGGTTTTCATTTTTCCTGGAAGGGGGTCCTGACGACAACTTAATTGAAGGTGGAGGAACAAAATTTGTCTGTAAACCTGGAGCCAGAAATATTACTGTCATATTCCATCCATTACTGAGGTAAGTCATCCCCTATGATGTACTTATCCGTGATCAATATTCTCATTATTTATGCTGATGTGCTTAGTGCCAGTAGTTCAGCCAGCATTGAGTCAAATCATTAGAAAAAAGAAACTTGTTTCATTTTCACAGGTTTCACAGTGAAAGTTAGTCAATAGAACAGATAATGTCAGTCAAGCTGCTCCCTGTTCTCCAGAGTAATAGCTCACAGATATTTGAATTTGATTTTCTTTACTTCCTTCTCTAGTCCTGCCCATCTTCTTCCCTCCTCCTTCTCTGTTTTTGGATATGTCTCAGTGGTTGGCAAGTCCAGGCCTGCCGGGGCCATCTAACCTGCCATCTGTTTTCATAAACACACATTTGTTGACCACAGTTGTGCTCGTGTGGCCATGTGTAGCCTTACTCTGCCATCACAGAGATGAAGCGTTGCAGTGTAACTCCCGGCCTGCAAGCCTGCGTTTTTTCTCTCTAGTTCTTCATAAGAAACACAGATTACTGACCCGTGGTCTCTCTTACTCATTTACACTAATTACTCCTTCATTATCTTTTGAGAATTACCAAGTCCCTGAACAGATGTGATTTACAGAAACCTGAAAGATATTAAGAATAAAATATATGGCTTTGTTTCTTGGAAGATAATTTGATGGTGAGCAGAATAAAATCTGTTACATTGTTCACTTCTCGATTATACTATATTGTAGCAAAGAAAATTTTAGGATGCTTTCCCCAAAAAATATTCTAAGTCCTAAGTGCTTTTAAAGAGGTACCTTTCTGCCAGAGTTAAAGGGACAATTGCTCAGTCATTACAAATTAATGATTTCTAGATATCTATATGCATGACAGGATTCAAGCTGTTTATAAAATTATGGAAGGCTAAGATGCTATATTTAATACTGTGGTTCATTAAATTAATTTTGAAAATGCATAAAGAATAAACATTGTACATATTAACAGGTAATATGATATTTTCATACATACAAGAATCTTGCACTACTGTGTTAAATATCTTAGACATTTATCACTTTTGGGGCAAAACCTCAAAATCTTTTTTGAAATGTGAATTATTGTCTGCAGCCCTCCTGCTGCACAGCTGCATACCAGTTCTTTGTTTTCATACCTCATCTCAAGTAGCTACTCATTGCTCAGCTTTTGCCCATCCCGCTTCCCCTATCCTCTGTGAATCAACATTCCACTTTTAACTTCCACAAGAATGAGATCACGCCCTTTGACCCATATGTCACAAATGACAGAATTGAATAGTATTCCATTGTGCATATATATCACATTTCTTTTATCCAGTCGTCAGCTGAAGGGTACTCTGGTTGTTTCCACTTTTTGGGGGGGATATGTACCTAGCATGAGAATTACTAGATCATACAATAGTTCTGTTCTTAATTTTGGGGGAACCTTCACACTCTTTTCCATAATGGCTGTTTTAATTGACCTTTCAGGCAATGCTCATATAATAGCTAACATTATTTTACAGTATACTTAAAATGCTTAATAAGGGAAATTTAATCTTATGTTTACCACAGTTTAGAGAAAGAACTTTGGATTTATATAATATTGCTTTTCTCTGTGAAGAACCTTTATATACTCAGTGTATTTGTATGTAAAGTAACAGAAACTTTTGAATTCATTACGAGGTGTATCTCAGAATAATACTTTAAGCCTCTAAAACTCTTGGTGCGAGTAAATTCACTTAAGAATCATGGGGTTAAGACAAATAAGACTATTTAATTGGTTAATATATATTATATATGTTACATATAATAGGTAAATTACAATGTAAAACTTCTGTATTTAACAATATTGTCCATATATACCAGGACTTTGGTAATTCGTTTAATACAGGTTCTGCAATTACAATTGATTTTTAATTAGTGTTGTTAATTGTTAAGGAAGCAGGAACGTACCTGAATCTTTATTGGCCTCTTCTAAACCCAGTTTAACACTGTACTTTGCTGCTTAATTGTACCATAGTGTGGATGAATTTAGTACTTGTATATACATTTATTTTGAGCATGGAAGGATGCCTATGGAGGGTAGAACTTAACAGATTGTAATAGCTTTTTAGTGCTTTCTAAAGAGCTGTTTTATGGCTTTTCTTACCCATTCCATTTGTATTTTAATTCTAAGTTTTGTTATTGTTGACAGGAACTGAAGGTTTGTCACATGATATAATTCACCATTAGTTATTTCTTTGTGTATCTCTTAATGTAAGTAACAAGAACATTATGTGGCTTGCAAGGTGAATTAATTCTTTGGTAAGCATGTGACAATTACAGGCTTTACATTAGCCCTTGGCACAAATTCAAACCTTACTCCTTAAATGCACTGTTAAGTTTCAGTGAAAATATAATAACGGAATTATAGAACTTCAGATGGCTAAGCCCTTTAGTAATTTTTACTTTTTAATTTTAGTTACTATTTTCCAATATTTTCTGTGTCCATTATTTCTTCTTAAGTTTATAAATTAAATTTTGTAATTAGAATTAACATATATATAGTTTATTTCCACTCATTGATTTTCATTATGAGTTAACTCTTTACTAGTAGTTATATTAATAGACTATTATTTATTATGTTACTTATATCAATATTAATAGACTCTTCAAACATATGATCTTATTGAAAAGACAGCATTTCAGAGTGAGACAGGCAGGTTAGAAGAGTGGAAAGATGTCAGCAGGAGTAGGAGACTTGAAATTAAGATGAAAACCCTAACAGGGTATCGTGGCTCATGTCTGGACTCCTTTTTTAGCTTTTGTCACCAATTATTTACTGGACTCTGCCTCTGTGTAAGGCTTAAGAGAGCAAGATCAGGTCACATTCTTGTCTATGAGATGCTTGCTTGGTAACCCGCTTGGTAGGAGACAGAAGTCAGCAGGTCTGGGCACAGCAGCTGTTGGGAAGGATGTGAATCTGTGGAATCTTTTAAATTTGTCAGGGAACATGCGTATGCAATGTTTCTCTTGAACCAGTGTGGCAATTCTTATAATCATATATCTTCTTTTTAGTCACTGTCTTCCTCCTGCTATTCTGGGAACTTTCTACTTAGATCAAGTGACTCATATTCCTAACTCATCTCAAACTTTTTTGTTTTGTTTATCAGTTAGATTGTGATTATGAGGTGCAGAAGTAACTTTCCTCACAATGACATTTATCATGAATTCTTTAGTAGCAACTAATAGACTGTGTAAGCTTCCTTGTATCTTTTACTGAGCTTAAATATTTTCCTCACTGGGAGACAGATTTTCCTCTGCGCCTCCCCACCCCCCAGCATCAATGGCGCTCTGTCTTCTGGAAACTTTGCATGTAGCTTTGTACACTTCATTTATGAAGAAAGTACTTTCGTCACTTTGCTTCAGCTGGCAGTGTGTTCTTCAGTGCCTAGAGGGGTTTCTGTATTGGAAATGGAACTGCCCTTCTGAGAGTGCTGCAGAGTTGATTCCCGTTATTTTGTTTGATGTATTCCCAGAAGTCATTTGTGCTTTCCTCTCATAAAATTATTCTGCAAGGTCTTCCATTCTGGTAACCTTGTCGTCTTATTTTTGTACTCTCCTCATAACCACGGCAGCTGTATCACTTGGAAATCACAAGGATGTTGGAGGCAAATGTGCTGCCTTCCAATTGTTCACCACATTGACTCGGCTGGTGCTTTTATTTGTTTAATATTTTTCCTTACTGTTTGCTTTTAGTCAATCTTGTGTCTTGAGAAGATGGGGGATAGAATGATCTTGCTTGCTTTACTCTTAGCCTACCAAGAAATTGTAAGCAATTGAAGCCCTAACAAAAGCTTGCAACGAGAAGAGGTCATTTAATCAATTTTTCTGCCTGTTGATCTAAATGAGAAAAAGCATATTGAAACAAATTTTCTATTGGCCAAATTACAGTGAGTTTTAATTTTCTTTGTATGTTAGAAAAGAGTTGATTAGTTTGCATGTTGATTTCTGCATTTTAATTTTTATGACTGTTACTGGGCAATGCCTTTATATTTCAGGAATGCAAGGGCCTTATCCTTCAAAAATTAAAAGTTCAAACAAGTGAATTTTACCATGTGTTATTTCTGTTGCTAGGTGTTTTGTAGAGAGTCTGAGTTGGGAAGGTCTTTGTGAGAGCATGTCTCTTAATCAGACCTGAGGATGCAGTAAGAGGAGCAGCCTGAATATTTGAGGGAAGAATCCCTGACCAGCAGAAATGCAAATGAAAAGGGAAAGGTGACTATGTTCCAAGAACCACTATGGGCTTGCTGAGGCTGGGTGTATTCCCCAATGGTTCCTGTTGGAGCATGTGAATTGGAAGCTTATACTCAAAGTAGTAGAATATAAATGGTTTCCTTTTGCTTCAATAAAGAGGGCAATACATTTAGACTGAAAAATTATAGGAACTACCTTTGTAATTCCCAAAAGGTTAGAAAGTATAGAGAAAGCCTGATAATGCTGGCATTCAGGAAAAATTATTATATTAGGCCTCTTACTTGATTTGAAGTACAGAAGAACTCTTTCTAAGGACTAGGTTAGTATAACTTAGTGTAGTTAGTATAGATTATTATTACATCAAAAATGATATATCCCTCCTAACAATGATATATCTAGAAGTAGAATATGTAATTTGATGTAGCTCATTTTTATTATATTCTCCAGTGTTGTTTGGCAAATGCTATGTTGTTTGGAAAATCAGAATGTCACAAAGGATTCGTCCTGTGTGTGGTTTCTGATACAATGTACTTTCAAATATACTTATAAAGTCTTGTTTTCCTCTGAAGCAGTGAATGGTTTGGCAGGCTTCATTACAAAAGTCCTGGTTTGTTTTAGGTTTTGTAGTAGATTTGCATGCTAATCTTTCTAAGTTTAGAGAGTAACTACAGAAGAATGACTTCTTTGGCAAATTACATGTTAGCCTAAACCTAGTCTAGCACAATGGGTCTGTTTTGAAAATATTTCCAAGATTATAAAACCTTTCTAATAGAAACCTTGCTTTAAAATCTTACTTAACTT